ACCTTGTCAAGTCGCCCAATTACCAAGTCGCCCCCTAGCAAAGTCGCCCCCTAGCAAAGTCACCCACCTTGACTAATGTTGAATATTATTATTAACTAACCTTTTAAACTTATTTTGAACTTATCTAGACCAGGAGGGAGCTGGCTAGTTAATTAAAATTACATGCAAACATAATCAGTATACAAAACTATTAAGAAATCACCGCTTTACTAAAATATAGGCAAACAACTTCATTCACTGAATCGCAGAAGTTTGTCTAAACCACTGCCACATTCAGCATTTGACAATCTTTCTGTCTTCGATAACATTCCTGGATTGGCGGTGTACAAAGATTTGACATGATTCTTCCAATAATATCGCGGGAGCCTACTTGGCCTACCGTTACTAGGCAACCTGCAATACCATGGTAAATAATCAAATTTCGAGGACATTCAAGGACAATCGTAAATTTCCAGGACTTTCCAGTACTAAAAAATGCTCATTTGTTTTTCAGGACATTCAAGGAATTTAAGGACGCGTGCAAACCCTGATAACATTTAAAACACTAACCTGGTGGCGCTGTTTCAGTAACACTGGAACATGCTAATTGCATTGGAGAATCTACAACAAATAAATTGTTATAACAATAAATAAAAAATCAAATTATTAAAACTGACTGCTGTCTATCACCATCAAATATTGGATCAGGATCAAATCAGTTTATATAAATCAATGGTGTATTTATACTATATCACAGGTGGGCATGGGTCACATACTGCCTACAATTTTCTTGTTGCCCTCGAAAATAATATTAAAAAGCTATGTTTGCAGCCAAACCTCTTTGACTAAAATACCCTGTGTTGGAATGGACCGATAACAATAACCTGAAAAAGTAATAATAAAATGGAACCCCTCTGGAAATAAATCTGTTTTAGGATTTTGAAGGTTATCCCTGAAATTATAACTTTATGATATCAAATCAAATCAAATCAAAACTGAGCATAAAGATAAAAGTACTAGTAGTAAATGAATGTAAATTCACTTGGGCCCTCTGACAATTTTTATGTCCATCTCTTATTACTGGATAATGCTTTCCCCTCCTTGCTTTGCACTGAGGAGTACCAATCCAGATTCAGTAATGAAACAATGATTTCCAAGGAGTAATTTGAAAATTTGAAAATGTAAATTATAAATTATCATTAAAAGAAAAATATGACAAAATTGAATAAAATATGTTTTAACCCTCTCAATAATTGTATGGTACAGCGGCTCATCGTAGAAAAATAAAAAAGATCTAGACCATGTAGTCAAGATCGCCTCTTGTATTAACTGTATTGACTAGCGTTCAGTCAACAAGATCTAGCAAGACAGACTTTTAGTGTATAAATATGTTATTATTATTATAGGTGTGCACAGTTTGTGTATGTATTTGTTTTTGATTAAAAAAAAATGCTTGATTTACCTGTCACTAGTTGCCTATTCTTGAACATTCTCTGAAGTTTGCCTGTGGTTATCAATACCTTCCCACATAGGATACAGCCATTTTCCAGGCACTCTTCTAAATCGTGGAAGTGCATTTCTTGCAAGTTTACCCAGCACAGGACACGGAACTTATAACGTGTGTGCTTCATTCCAGACGTCAGTACTTTCATTTCTTTCTTCAGAAACTCTAACACCTTAAATGAAGATTTTTAATACAAAATAAAAATTAAAGTTGAAAACATTACAAAAATATAAAAAAATGAATCATACTATATTAGAGAAGCACCACCAAAAAATGATTTATGATTTCAATTTTGAATTGTTAGATTTTATATGATTTAATTGATTTCATGATGCTCAATGAAACAATGACGCAATAGTGCTGTTGCTTTTGCCATCAGAATTATTGCTATTTATATCGTCATCAATATTATAGTCATTACCATTCTCTTTGGCCAATTTTCTTCCATTATTATCAAAATTATTTTATTTTTAAAAGTTCAATAATTTTTCATTATGTTATTATAAGAATTCATCTTTTTATTGGTTTAATGTTTCATATGGATGTCATATGGATGTCTTTTTCAAACTTATTCTTCATTTTGTCAGTATATTTCTTCTATTTTTTCTGTGTATTTTAAATTTGTTTGTTGAGGATCTCTAAATATTAGCTTTCCATTAATGGGTGGGTGCACAGGATATCCTCATTAAATAAAGTCCCAACAAATATATAAATAAACAAGAAAACAGACAATACATTATCTGTCATTAAATAAAGTTTAATAAAAAAAAAAACAAACAATACACTACTAGCTGTCCAAATCACAAAAAAGCATATCTGTATATTAAATATTTGGATTGCACTTGTACTATGTTCATCCAAGCACAGTAGAATATATATTACTCATACACTCTACCTAGATAAATCTACTTTATGATTATCTCCAGGTAATATCACTAATAATGAACATCACCATTGCTGTGTGTAATTTTACAGCTAATTCAATTGCAAGATTTCAAATATCAAACTAGATTACCTGCATACAGACTCTAGGACTGGGTTCACCTGTTGGTGTCTTGGTACCATCCTCCTGAATGATAGGCACCCGTAATATTTCCAGCTAAAATACAAACATTAAATCAATCAATAATTCCATGCATGCCAGAAAATATATCAATACATTAAGTGCACAATCAAATCCTTTATTTAAATTTTATCCTAATTCAACTGCAAGCTACTTGCCACTTTTTTTTTTGTAAATCATGGATCCAACAAAAACAGTTTGGGTGGGGGCATGCAAAATGTGAAACACTGAGCAGGGGAAGGGTGTTGGGGAAGGTGTTGAATTTTTGTCTATAAATGCTTGACAATGGTACATGGAATCTGAATTTAAAAATAGCTGTTTTGGCGTACCATGGGCTCTTTCTCCTCTAATTTTACTTTCTTTTTTTTTTTGGTTAGTGGGAGGGACATGTCACCTGGATCTGTCCTGTATTACCCTCCTAACACTACTTTTGTTAGAATTAGGCAAGGAGCATTATCCCTTTATATTCACCTATCTCTCAGCTGTTACTGTAACAATTTTTTTCTATTCATAACAATAACAACAATTAAAAAAACCATACAAGTGTGTGACATTCAAATAACTCTTAGAAAGATACTTTTACCTTTATCACTCTTGTCTTGATTTTAATTTTCACTTCATTGCCTATCACTCCAATGGTTAGTAACTAAATGACATCTCTTAACATCTTACCTTCAATGAGGGCTTGTTATTAATGACTACTGGTCCTAAGCTGAGAGTGTGTTCAAGTCCTAGGTTGATGTTAGCATAGTTGCTAAATAATTGCAGCATGGCTGTGTAGCCCATGTCTTGTACCATTCCAATCAAGCTCACAACCAGAGGATGGAAGACACTATCAGGGATGAAATCCTCGGAGGCCATATAGATAGATACCATCTGAGCTGTATCATGTTCAATAGACACATTGTCTTTGCTCCGTTTCAAACGACAGGGAACAAAAAACGAGCGATGTTTGCTTTCCTGATTCTTGTGAAAAAAACAAATGAATTAAATAAAAAGATAGAAAATACCAGAAAAATGTACATCTTACATTACCAGTTTTTTAAATAATCAAATGTTCTGCAATCCAAATGGCATGCGAGGTAGAGTAAGATTAACATTCTTAAAATAATTTAAACTCTCTTTTTTTTAAATAATTTGCTGAATTTCATTTTACAATGAAAAGATGGAATAAGTCACCATTTATGTCTGCATTTCTTTGCCTTTAAAAAAAAATTACATTAATTTAATTTTTAATAGATTCTTATTAGGATTGATTGCACTGTACAGTATATTAAGTTAGTTAAGGGGCAGAGGTCAACTTATCATTAACTAGCTGGATGACTGACTATCTGAACTCCAACAAAAAAAAAAGAAAAGAAAAAAGCAATACCTTGATCTGCTCACAGAGTAGTCCAAACTGCTTCATCAACTCCAAGAAGACTTCAAAACTAGATTCATCTTTGGCAAGCTCATCTCTCCAAAGATGTCTGACTAACTCTTCCTCAAGAATTCCTTCTTCATCAAGTTTATTCCATAGCTCAATCATTGTAGCCCACTGAAATCATTCGGACATGCAATTAATCACATTGTGTTTCAATGGTGTTTTGCGTCTGGAAATTTAATCAGAATGTCTTGGCCTACCTAATGTGCTATCATACTGATTGCTCAATACATTCCCAAATACTTGCAAATAAATGTCTCCAGTGATTCGTGTTGGAATTGAACCCACGACCTCCAGATAATAGCATGGTGTCATAACCACTAGACCACTAAGAGTGTGCTCAGTGACTAGTGTTGAATCAGATCTGCAAGTCAGCGGGTACTGCAATGCTATTTGAGAGATTTAATCAAAATGACGTTTGCCCTACTTGACTTATTATCGTACTAGTCCAGTCAAAAATCACCTTAACCATGGTATAAACTTTTACCTCTACGAAACTCAAACCATAATTCCTTTATATATTGAAAAGATATCTTGATGTTGCGTCGTGCAACAAGTGGGATTTAAGGAAAGAAAGCAAGTTTTACCAGATTTTAGCCACTTGTCACTGTCGATAGTTTACCTCGAGAAGTGACGTCACAAGGCTAAAATAACAAAATGCCATTTGCGTCTCTAAAAAACATATTAGCTAATTGATAAGTTCGCTAATAATAACCAGTATCACAATGACTTTTGATACAGTATAAGGATAGATACCATCTGAGCTGTATCATGTTCAATAGACACATTGTCTTTGCTCCGTTTCAATCGACAGGGTACAAAAAACGAGCGATGTTTGCTTTCCTGATTCTTGAGAAAAAATCAAATGAATTCAATAAAAAGATAGAAAATAACAGAAAAATGTACATATTACTGTATGTTACCAGCTTTTTAAATAAACAAATGTTCTGCAATGTAAATGGCATGTAAGGTAGAGTAAGGTTAACATTCTTAAAATAATTTAAACTCTTTTTTTAAAATAATTTGCTGAATTTCATTTTACAATGAAAAGATGGAATAAGTCACCATTTATGTCTGCATTTCTTTGCCTATTCTATATTTATTTATTTTTTAATAGATTCTTATTAGGATTGATTGCACTGTATATTAAGTTAGTTAAGGGGCAGAGGTCAACTTATCATTAACTAGCTGGATGGCTGACTATCTGAACTCCCCAAGTATTTGCCACCAAAGAAAAAAAAAAAAGAAGAAAAAAAAGAAAAAGAAAAAAAGCAATACCTTGATCTGCTCACAGAGTAGTCCAAACTGCTTCATTAACTCCAAGAAGACTTCAAAACTAGATTCATCTTTGGCAAGCTCATCTCTCCAAAGATGTCTGACTAACTCTTCCTCAAGAATTCCTTCTTCATCAAGTTTATTCCATAGCTCAATCATTGCAGCCCACTGAAATCATTTGGACATGTAATTAATCACATTGTGTTTCAATGGTGTTTTGCGTCTGGAAATTTAATCAGAATGTCTTGGCCTACCTCAATACATTCCCAAATACTTGCAAAAAAATTTCTCCAGTGATTCGTGTTGGAATCGAACCCACAACCTCCAAATAATAGCATGGTGTCATAACCACTAGACCACTAAGCTTGTGCTTGTGACTAGTGTTGAATCAGATCTTCAAGTCAGTGGGTACTGCAATGCTTTTTGAGAGATTTAATCAAAAATGACGTTTGCCCTACTTGACTTATTATCATACTAGAATTTTTAAAGCCAGAAGTGACATGAGACAAATTGCATTGAATTTTTCAAAAGTGACTTGAGACAAAATTAATTTTGTTTGGCCTAAAGAAAACTCAAGGATACACTAGTGGTGGTTCTAGGGTGTGAGAGGTGTTTCCCACTCCCAAATGAGATTTTTTTTTTAAATAGGGACCTCTGGATGGCTGAAAATGGCACTCTATGACTGTGAAAGACATGTTTTTGGCTTGATTTAGAATTCTTTTTTGTTTGACTGCCCACGAGCTCGGCAGGTGGGGGGTGCTTGACTTGTTCGATGAGGGAGCTTAATAAGCCCCTTGACACCCCCCCCGCTGGTGCCGCTACTGTTGTTAACTCACCTTTTCGCTGTCATGAGGTTCCACTACAGTGATAATTTTCTTGAAGATGTAAATCAGCTTCCGTGGGTTTGTTATCACCGTATGCTTCAGTAGTCTGTTGTTCTCAAAGTACAGAATGATTCCAAGATCATGTAAGTAGTTTAGGGTGTGGATCAGATTCTTAACAGAGAGTCCGCATTTAGTGGCAACTGCACAGACCTAAATATATAAAAATGTAGAAAGTATAAAAATCTCTTAAAAAAATAAATTTAAATGTATATTAGATGACAAGATACACTCTAAGTAAATATATTAACTTCAGTAAGTCAGGATGCATTATTCCATCATTAAGGCCAAACAAAATTAATTCTTTGTTTCATGTCGCACACATGAAAAAAAAAATATTGTTATAGTTTGTGCATTGAATATTCAAATTTTACAATTTTTTTTCCTGATTATTTTTGTTGAAAATAACTGTTGTGCGAGTCTATCAATAAATTTCAATGGCGCAAATGGCGTCTATCTCTCTGTGGAACATGTGAGTCTTCACGCTGTGAATCAATGATCCGGTCAGTCCACAGTGCGGTTCTCTATAGGGATGGTGTTGTCTATTTTTACCCGAAGTTCACGATTTGTTTATTTTTAGACAGTAAACAACAAGAATTAACAAGGAAGGGCTTTGTATTCAACATTACGGCGATCAATATGGTCTTTTTAGTACATGACTTGGGGTGCAACAAACTTTTTGCAGGGTTCCATCAGCCAATCAAATCTAATGTTTGCCCCTGAAATGTATATGGATTGTTGAAGCTGCAACTGTAACTTGATAGGTCCTAAAATGGTGTTATCATATTCACAAGTACATGAATTTGTTTTTGACAAGAGAATATTTAAAATAGAGATATACAATAAAATGTGAAAATTTAATACAAAACAAAATTGTCCATTAACTTTATACTGTGGGGATTATCTGCTTCAGCATTGAGCTGTAGAAAAGAAAAAAACATTCCACATTGAATTTTTGAAGCTAGAATGGACGTGAGACAAAAAAAAAATATCTCATTCCGCATTGAATTTTTAAAGCTGGAAGTGACATGAGACACAAACAAAATTTAAAAAAAAACCTCATTTTGCATTGAATTTTTCAAGTGAGTTGAGACAGAATTAATTTTGTTTGGCCTAAAGAAAACTTCTTGTCACAACAACTCATTTTTCATTTCATTTATTTCGTCAAACAGATAACAAAACATACAGAAATAACAATACCAAATATCAGAGACAGGATAAACAAAAAGCAAACTAAATTGCTGTATAAAGTTTCTCCACTGATTTAAGGATACATAAAATATATAAATAAATCTCTGTTCTCTGGAAGTAAAAACGATTAAAACGGCAAGGCACAACGCAGCGCAGAACAGCACAGCGCAGCACGCAAGAAACAATATACTGTTAATCTCATGAAGCCACTAAAAATAAACACTTGGATATTCCCAGAAACTCCATGAGAACAACAATAATTGATACCAGCAAAGAGCAACTGCAAAATAAGTATCAGCGAAAGCAGTAGCGCAGAAAAAAGAGAAACTTCAAATTATTTAAAATCAAGAAGTCGAGATTATCCGCCATCGGAACCCTCACACAACAAATTTTATTTTTTGAATTGATCCTTTAAGGCACCAAGAAATTGAGAAAGGCCAATCGACAAACTGTCGCGAATATGTGAAGGCACAACATCTCAAATCCTCGGAAATAAATTAAACACACTAAATTTATAAGTATCAGTGCGACGATGAGTAAACTTCAAGTGATCTAAATGACGACAATTTATTTCAATATTATTTGATGTTTATAGAATATTTTCGATACTCAATTCTCCCTCTTGCAATCCGATTGAACAATGCAATTCATAAGAGATAGTTGCAATCAACAAGTGTATTAAGTAAGATTCTATATTTATGTACCGCACATTATATTATTATATAATTGTCAACTAATCAATGGTATCTTTTATTTTAACACATTTTAACTATTTTTTTTCATATTTAGGTGTAGTTACATGCACCATATGTTGAACCTTGGAAAAAGAATTTCATGTAACTCACATAAAAATCAAAGTAAATTAACCAGATATATGGCAATAGCAGGGAGGAGTGAATTTGTAAATTTAAGTGCTTGTGTATTTGATGCTTAATGATAAAAAGTAGTGGGAAATGCATTCTATTAAATTGTATGTGGTGAGGGTGTGAATACTGAAACATTTCTTTTCATCCTTTATATAAAAGTCATGACCTGTACACTATTGTTCTTTGCCTGAGTCTCCCTTTGTCATTAGGCATACTTGCTCTTCTCATGTGTTTTATCTATCTGTGGGCTTTGTCTCGATCTGACATCGTATTCAATTTTTTCAATAAATCGATATACAACAACATAATAAAAACGTACCTCATCATGCGTCATGCGCACTGTTGTCCTACCATTCTCCTGCAATATACGCTGGAATTCAAGCCATTTGAGTGGGATGGTTTTGGGCATTGCTTTCAGAAATCCACCAACATCTTGTTTAAGTGTTGTCAGCATCTCACTTTCGATTTGAGATTTGTTGTCAATGGCATATATTTTCCTCACCACGTGACATTCATACGGAGTGCCTTTGATTGCTTCAAATATTATTCCAAATTGTTCTTCAATCTGAATAAATATAGAAACGCATCACACACTGTTCACATGTTACTAATAAATTATGTCATTAAGTTCAGATTACATTTTACCTTCTCCTTCTTTTCATCATCGGTCCCAGGTAGGCTCTCACTGTGAGTACCAACCACCACAATTTGAGGTTTCTTGGCTTGTAGCTGCTGCTGTTGGGGCTCAACTGGGACAGCGTATGTATATATCAACCTCATCCAGTATTTGATGATCTGTATATTTGTCATATCATATGTCATCACATATTTGTCCTGAACAGAAAAGAAAATTACAAGATATTCATCAAGAATAGATAACATACAGCACTCAACAATGTCATTACGCAGCATATATATGATTTTTTTTTATTTATTTGGTATAAAACACTCAAAATGCAACAAAAGTTGAAAATTTCCTGAGTTTTCCTACCAAACAAAAAACAGACACGAAACAAGCATAATACAATACTATCAAAACTGTAAGCCTACAGTAAATAATTAAAAAATAACTAATCAATAAAAGCGGTATTTACAATTTTATAAACAGATATTAAATTTTATAGTTATCAAATATACATTATTATTTTATATATTACATAGCAAATTGATATATAATGCAATCATCATATAAAATATACAATTCATTAAAATTATTTAATATTTTCCTTATTAATTTCATTAAAACCACAAAAAAAGAAGAAAAAAATGTTTTTTTTTGTAAAAATTTATTTAAATTATAAGAATTGACCTATTTACCCCCTTATAGACTCTTTTCTTTCCTTTGTCGTACATACTTTCCAGCAAATTGAACAAAATCACATACACTGCTTCGCTTGTTAAGAATATCTAAAATAAAATGTAAAATGTGATAATTGATAATATGTTAACAATTATTCAACAGTTAAGTTTATTGATGATCTAGATTATCTTTTAATTATTAAAAAGCGATTCAATTACGTATAATCGGCAAGGGAATAAGTTTCAATAAACATACACGATACTGTTAAAATAACTAGAACTATTTTTCTACATTTATGATGATCTAAATTATCTTTTTCTATTGACATTTTGTAATCTTTTTTAGAAATCACATTCCATCCAAATGGTTAACTTTGTCAAAATGCAGCAGTGTTGTAGGAGGAATCTTGTGGCCTACACTAGGAATCTCTAACCTGGATCGTGTCCATTGCATAACATAAAGAATGTTATAAGTACTTACTCGATGTGTGATGTAGTACAGCTGCTGGCCAGCAAAGTCCCAGATATAAGTCATATCTTTATTATCAATGGTCTGTGAGGTCTTTCCAGTAATTCTATCAACAACTCTTTCCTGAATTTCAGATGGAAGTGCTTGGCTAGATACTGATTAAATAATTTCAAATATTAGCAAAGTTGGGTAACAATATAAAGAGGATAATATTTTTAAAGTAATGATCACATAAACATGTGATCATGTGAAGGCAACAGTATTTAAAATAATAGTCAGACAATTATAAGTTTATCCATGCCAATCACAATTATCAACATTTCAACAAGAGACCCTCACATTAGAATGATACTGATTAAATAATACTATCAAAGGTTGGTAACAAGATGATTTTATATAAAGTATACTATAAGGATAACACTAAATAATATAACTATGATGGCAACAGTGTTCAAAGTAATAGACAATTTTCTTTGAATAATCTTAGAGATTATATTTTTAAATTAATAAAGTTAATCTATCATGGTTATCTTACTTTAAAATGTTGTAACAACTATGGCTTGTTATCTTTATGGTTACAGATATGATAAAAATATGAATAAAATATTTAATTATGTATATTTCTTTGAATATTGATTAAATAATAACAACCTTCTTTGTGTTCTGTTTCTATTGGTCCTGACATCACATCATACTGTGTATAAAAATATAAATAAATCAATTAATACCACTTTATGTAATACAAAAAACTAACTTTAGAAAGGATTGACATTTCAGCTCCATCATGGACACATTCTCAAGATCAAGTGAACTAAAACATAAAACAACCAAAGTATAGGTAACAAGGAGATTACAAACATTTACCTGATTAACTCCTACATTTACATAAAACTAGAGAAAGTTAGCTTAATCATGAAGTTAGCTTAATCAACAAAAATAATTTACAATTTATATGTTCAATAGACAATTAGTATATGTCTTTAATTATTCTGTCCACGGAAGTTTTATTACGAATGAATGCTTCAAATGAACAACTGGATGAAAAAATGTTTATACTGATAGTTATTGTTGGACAACAGCAGCTACAACTTTCAGTACTCAAAAATAAATAGTGAAAATACACAATAATGGAAAATACACGCTAAAAGTTGTCAAACAGCGTCAACCAGATTGATTTATTTGTGACCTAATTACATTTTTTTAATTAGCGTTGTTGTCAACTTGCTTATATCTGAATTAAGTAGTCTCTATTTGATGTCCAGTAGTGAGTTAATAACTGATATCTTGCTAAATTTGAATGGTTCAAATTCAAATTTAGCACAAGATTCAACTTGTTCACCAACTTGCTCAAAGTTCTATGTGAATGACACTACTGTTCAAGTTCAAGTTCAAAAGTACATTCATTCATAGTGGTCAACATACAGATACATAAATTATACATACTGCAAGTAAACAGAACTGAAATAAAATAAATAATAGCGACCATCAATGGGATCAAGATTAGAAGTGAAACTTGTATCACCCTGACCCTAATGTTAAAAAAAAAAAAAAAATACAAAACAAAACAAAAACAAATAAATATAAATAAATAAATTAACTGTGTTAATATTATTCATCACTAAAGTGATTGATTCAAGCTACTGAGTGTAATTAGAAGCTCACATCAGATAAACAGTTTTGCTTTTTTGGAATATTTTGTTTTGTTAAGTGATGGCTTTAAATCCTTTATAAAACATATCCATAAATTTAAATGTGTATGAAGGAAATATTTAAATTGATTCTGGGTAGTATTTCCTACAACTCAAACTTAGAACACAGCAATATGAATGAAAGGACTACTAATTTTTTATAATCATTTTGGAAGCTTCATTTGGAATATGTTTATATAGTCTCAAGATATAAAATATGATACAGGTCATGTTATGATATTCATTTAGGCACGTTTGCCAAGGATTGACAATAGCTAAAGTAATCACTTTCATATTTAATATGTAATAATCATTTACATAAAACTAATACATAAACCAAGTATCATTATGAGGATTAAGGAGTGGAGTTGTATAAATTAAAAAATAGTACCACCACTCTTCCAATTTTTAACAGGATAATTTCAACATAATTTTGATAAGTTTACAGTATAGTATATTTGGATGTACCTTTGGTTTTTTTGTTTTCAGTTTTTCTATTCTTCTGTTGTTAGTTTGTATTTTTGTAAGCAGTTCTTGTTTAGGTGATCTCCTTATCCTTTGTTTCAGCTTCAATGCCCCCTCCCTTTTAAACTCACTCTCTTTAAAAAGCTGAAATTCTACAAGCATCTCATCCTTTAAATGTAACCTCAAAAGCTATCTCTCTCTCTTTCCGTGGTTTAGTAATATTTTTTCCCTGTCTCCCCCACCTCCACCACACCCCTCTCTCTTTTTTTCTTCAGGCTGGCCCTAAACTTATATATATATTTTTTTTTAATTTGTTTCAATTTTAACTTTGTTATTTTCTTTATTTTGACATTATTATTCTTCTTTTAATTTTTTTTTAGTCAATTTGATTTTATTTTAAATTTTATTTATATAATATGTTTATACATTGTAATGATTTCTTTTCCTTTGTTACTTGGTTTTTAATATTATTTTATCATTTTAATTTCTTTGTTAACCATTTATATTTCCTTTGTTACTTGTGTTATGTATTGAGGCTCCCTAATGTTCAGCTCCAGCTGGATGGACCACCCTCGTAAAATATTGTTGAAATAAAATAAAATAAAAATAAATTAGTTGCACATTTTATAGTTAAGTTTGTTTTATGATGTGTGAAAAACACATACAGCCTTGTGTTGTCTTACCTGTAGTGTGATAAATGATTTTCCTTTTCTCTTTTTTTTGCTGAATGGAGAGAACACACGCCTAATTAATTTCTGGGTTCTCGTTCTTTTAGGCATGTGTGCTGGTGCTGGTAGAGGTGCTGGTTGAGGTGCTGGTAGAGGTGCTGGTTCTGGTGCTGGTTGAGGTGCTGGTTCTGGTGCTGGTTGAGGTGCCGGTTCTGCTGCTGGTAGAGGTGAAGGTTCTGGTTGAGGTGCTGGTTCTAGTGCTGGTTGAGGTGTCAATTCAACTCCCTCTATTTGATTACCTTTCAGTTTTAATTTCCCAGCAACTCTACCTTCTAATTCATTATCATATATCAGCTTAATCCGTTCACACTCTATAAAGATTTAAAATAACAGTGAAATTCATCAAAGCTCAAGTGATAACAAATAACAAAAGGATTTAAAGTTATATTGTTTCTTGTCTTACCGTCCATGTCCTCAGTTTCTTTCCACTTACAACCAACATCAGTAGTTTGGAAAGCTGTAGTCAAAACAATTCCATCGGTTGATGGTTCTGCTTCATTAAATCTGTGGAAATAAGTCTAACACAATTTAGCATTACAAATTGTGTATGTGGGTCGAGTCGAGTGGCCGAGCGGTAAGGCAGGGTCGCTGCTAGCTACAGCCTTTAACATCGGCGCTGATTCCAGCCGCTCCTCGTTTATGGTTCGGTTGGTAGAACCAAGTCTTCTTGAATAAGGACTTAAAATGGAGGTCCAGTGTATACATCTGGCTCGTGTGCACTTTAAAGAACCCATTGCATCTTTTGGAGGATTACCCTGATGTTATGGTTCATTTCAGCCCCTGTCGTTGTGGAATGATGTGAACATTTATCTACCAAGAAGCGCCTCTTCACGGCTGCTAGGTAGTCACGGACCATGCCCATTTGCAATTCAGCACAATGACGCTGCAAGTTATGGGTTATTCTCCTACCTTTACCTTTACTTTTATGTTAAAGTGGATATTGTAGTATAAGTGCAATGGTGGATTTTGAGGAGGGCATTGCAAGTATCTTATGAATTATAGATTTCATATAAATTTGCAATTGATTGATTTATTGATGATCGGGCTGTGGATTACATGGAGGAGTAGAGGTATGACTAATGAAAATTTGTACATTTTGAAACAATAATTGTTTTCATCCAGGTCCAGAGAATAACCCACTTCTGTGGCCATCATAATGTATGGTAATACAGTATATATAAAAAGAACATAAAATACAATTAAAAAAGAAGAGTAATATGGCAACATTTATACCAAAATACATTGACAGATACTTCAGAAACTTACGGTTTTTCAAGCAGAGTGTTTACCAAACACGTTTTTCCAACGCCCTCCTTTCCAGTCACCATTAATCGTGCGTGGTTTACTGTGATTTTGCCATCTTCCAACTCCTCATTAAAAACCTTCAGAGCTGCTTCTCCTCTAGCCATAATTACTTCTGGGACTGCAATCCCTAATTTACATAGGCAAGAAGATAATGCTGCTCATCAATTATCAACAAAGTATAGAGAAATTTTCAAATATGTTGGTTAAGTACAAATAAAATTCTTTTAAAAAAATAAAAAATAATAAAGAAAACACAATCATATGGAAAATGCTTCATTATTATAAAATTTCAAATAGTTGTTTATAACTCAAATAGAAAAAAAAATATAATTAGATGTTGTGAAATAATTTGAAACATGACTTGCTATATTAATATTATCATAAAATAATATCATCCCCATCATCACTGTCATCATCACCATAGCCACAGCCACCATCATCATCATCAATATTTTATAAAATTAATATTACAACATTTGGAAGAAAGCAAATAATGGTATTAGTATAATTTTCCAGTGCAACAAAACTTTGCTGATATAAAATAACAAAGCAGGTACATGGGATTGATGATGACCCACAAGGAGTAAACATCTGTGATGTACAATGAGCTTCATTGCAATACATTATTTACAGCAGATAATATAATAAATTATTATCCAATTAATATAAGCAGGAAATAAAATTACATTGACCTACAGGTAATAAACAATAACATGAATAATTAAATTGTATTAACTGCTCACCTTGCAGAAGTTGCAAAACTTCTTCCTTGTGTTTTTCTCTATTTGTAGAATCATACCTCTGACATTTATTATTTATATAGAGATCACGTGGCGTCCGATTGGTCTGTAAAAATAATAACACATAAAACTTAAAACAAATCAATATCGATCATTCCACTTTAAAAAATACTTCATAGAAAGTATCATGCAAAAATAATCACAAGAAGTATCATAAAAGAAATATTATATGTACATATCAGTGCAATTTTCTTTTATATCTTGCAAAGATTCAATCATAAGTATTGATTATAAGACCATTCCCTTAACAACACAATCGCTTGTTATGCTAATATTACTGTACCGGTGTTCTTCAGAATCTTTGTCAATCAATCAAGCAGCAACAACAGCTATTTAAATAACTCAAGCAAGGATAGATCTAGGATGGGGAGAAGTGAATAGGGTGGATAACCTTTCCCACAAAAATACATAGGCCTAGACTAGAGCAATCTCTTTATACCAAGTAATAGAAACAAAGTTAACATTTCTAAAGTCAAGATACTTTGTGGAGTGGTTTACATTTTACCAAATAACCTACAATTAAGCTCATCTCATTCCCACCCTCATTCACCCCAGCCATGGACTCTCTTCTCTCATATTAGGCTCCACTACTGACACTGTGCTGCTGTTTATGTAATCATTATCATCATATGATCAAATAATTTCATCTGGCCTTGTTGATATTATCCGTCAACAGAAAAGCCAGAATTATTTTATTTATTTGTATGAGAATTCAACATCATTAACAGACCTCAGAATGTGGAAAGTTCTGGGGTCGAGGCCTCCATGAACAACCTGTATACACTACCTAGCCATCCTCCATTCTTTAATCCTAGATCAGCCACTGCTCAAGCTGTAAGCAAATTTTTTTATATTATTTTTGGAATTGGTCTTATTTTCTGAATTGGTCTTATTTTCATTTTCCACATCACCAATGGAACTGCAATCACCTTCATAATATAAAATAGTTTAAGATTCAAGATTGCTTTATTATCATTAACCAAACATGTGATGAAATCAATTCTTTTTGCCTGCTGCATAAAATGAAAGACATGGACAAACAGTAAAAGGCAATTCAATTATTGATAAACATTGAAAACAACAAACGGATACAATAATAATAATGTACCTATAGGATTGGATTTATTTGGTGTAAACACCAAGGATAGCCCACAAAAGTCTAGAAGACGAATTATTTCCAGTGGGGTCCTTCTGGTGGTGATTGGGCAGTACACCGGGAGACAATCCCCTACTCTTTTCTGAAGAGTGTACTGCGTTCTTTAACGTGCACATGGGCCATAATTCACACACGACCAACGGCTTAAACGTCTCATCCAAAAGACGGTGCGCTATTGTAACTTGTCTTTCAGCCCTCTAGCTGAATCACAAGGAGAGGCAGCGATGGGAATTGAACCGGGGACCTAGAGATCTCCATGCTTCAGCGCACACACAACGGCTACCACCAGATTAGCCGACTGAATTAAGCTGCTCATATCTACTAAAGCTATCATCACCATCTACTTCAGAATCGTCATCACGATCCAAACCATCACCTTTGGAATCATTGGAAGCATCATCATCATTAAATTATTAAAACACTCAAAATTTATGTATTAATATAAATTATTAGTATTATTATTAATATTACTATGTTTATACTGTAGGGATATCTCCAAAATACAATTTACACCAACATATTATATTTCTTATTTAATAGCAGCAATCATTTATACAAATTTCAATGACATTATTTACTCCACTATATATCTTGTATATTTTACCTTATTCTCTATATTTACATCAGCCCCGGCATCCAAAAGAAGTCTTGCAATGTTAAGGTGATCTCTGAATATATGTTTGGCTTCTAACAGGTTGTGAAGAGGAGTCTCTTTAAACTGTAACACATTGGAAACAAAGAGAGTGAATCAATAAATGACAGCTCATATGATCATATTAATCAACATTCAAAGAAAATCCAATCTTATTCTTAATTTTTAAACATTAATAATATAAAATACTAGTGCACAATAACACAATTAAACTGAATGAGTTGGTAGGAATACAAACAAAAGAAATTTTTTTCTGCTTGATTCTCTCGCCCGGTTCATCATTTTTAAGGATGTAACCTCGGGAGAAGTATTTATTATTCTTTTATTCAGTAATTACATTAATAATATAAAATAATAATAAAATTAAACTGAATGAGTGGGTAGGAATACAAACAAATGTAATTTGAATTAAATTGAATCTAGCAGAAATCATCAGAGAGCAGTGGCAGTGCCAGGGTGGGGTAGGGTGTGTAGAAAAAAAAGAAGTTTGGATGGACAAGTAATTAAATTTATGTGAAGTCTCATAGTCATATCCAGGGCCACTCAGTGAGGAGTAGGGGTTCTTGTCTGGAGACAAGGGGGGCCGTCAAGGTTTACTGAGATGGAAGGTTGGATCAGAAATAATAATAATAATAATAACAATAATAATAATAACTATATTAAATAATAATAATAATATTAAATAATAATAATATATATTTTTTAACCATGGAAAATTAAAAATTGAACAGTAAAATTTAAATACAAAATATTAATGCTGATCTTCACTAATTCCATGGATACAACAACATGGAGAACAATACGAAAAAGACGATATAAAATAGAACCATTATTAACATTAGAAAAATTAGCAAATTAAATGGATTAATATACCCTGGCCTAGTAGATGGTAGGCCTAGCCTAGGATAGTCTAGCGTTGACCTCCTGTATTTTAATGCTAAACAAACATTTAGGGCTAGGCCTATAGACTTAATAGGAGGCTTAGGAGGCTGAATTTACTACGTTGTCTTATAAACGCTGATACACTGAGACGCTGATACGCTGGGACGTTGATACGCTGAGACAAAGATGACGTCATTGAAATTCACCGCAAAGTCATAATGCACTGAGTGGAATCGAAAGTGCAGGGTTCTCAAGTAC